GCAATTTTTTATTAATCGTGCTTGCTTAATTTTATTATTTGATTGCTTGATCATCACTTAATTATATGGTTGCTTGTTGTAGTTTTGGGAGGCTTCCAATTGGTAGAACACTGCTTGATTAATATGCATGCAATAAATTTTAGAAATAAAATTTATCACGTGTACAATTTTTGAGATAATTGTGAAATTGAATGCATTATATTCATTCGAATTCAGACTAGGAATAGATTGGGGTCATGAATAGAATATGTTTAATTTGTCTTAAAAAAGAAAATTAGTTACAATAGAATTATCAATTGTCAAGAATGCAAAAATGAAACTAGCTACGTAGTCAAAAATTAGAATATATAAGAATAGATGGAAATTAAAAACCACAAATCTCCTTTGTTGGTTTACTTTGAATCCAACTAAACACCAGCACAACTTATTAAATTTTATTTATCGTGGGACGATATTCTTAACTCACTCAATTTATTACTTGTCAACGATCTCGTATGCTTGCGGGTTTTGCACGAATATGCATATAATAATAACATTCATTGATTTCTTATGTATAATTCTAAATTTTAGACATACAAAAGAATACGATAATGGAATTTAGAAATACTTCGTTCTTTGAACGTGTATTTTCCTACTATCTAATGAGGAAGCAAACTTCTCTTAACTAAAACTATGGTTGAAAATAGTCAGGACCAAGGATTGGGGAAGGAAGTTGAGATTGAACTAAGATGTAGTAAATAAGAAATGATAAAAATATCTTATGGTCATAATTTTTTGACATATATACTTGAAAGTGAATCTCAAAACTTCCAAAAAGTCGTGAATTCTTCGAATGGACCTTAGTAGTAAGAGGCCATAAAACGTGAAATAGATTCCATTTTGCGAAATCGTGTATGGGAGTTGGTGGATCTTCCTCTGGGATGCAAACTATTAGGTTACAAATGGATTTTTAAAAGGAAAATGAAATCATATGGCACCATTGAAAAGTATAAGGCTAGATTAATAATAAAATGTTGCAAAAAACGAGAAGCCTTGATTATTTTGATATATATTTTTCAATGGCAAAAATGATATCTATTAGAATGATATTTGCAATTGCAGTTTTGTGAAATCTTTAAGTATATCAAATGAATGTTAGAAATGCCTTTTAAATGGAGAAATAGAAGAAATCTACATAAAACAATTTGAGGATTTTCCCTTACCAAGGTAGGAAAGGAAAAACCGTAAATTGATACAGACATTGTATGACTTGAAATAAACATCAAAATAGTGGCATTAAAAGTTTGATAGTGTCACGATAGAATGTGGATTTAAGATCAACTAGCATGACAAGTGCGTTTATGTCAAAAACACCGAAAAATATCTATATCATCTTATGTCTTTATGCTGAAGACATGCTTATTATTGCTAGTAATAATAAGATGATTAAATTTATTAAAGATATGTTGGATTCAAGATTTAACAACATAGTTGATATGATACTGGGAGTTGAAATTTCAAGATCAGATGGAACCGTTGTAAGCCAGTTTCATGTGGGCAAAATCTTGAAAAACTTAACAAGGATGATTCTAGCATGATTAGACACCGATAGTATAAGTCAGTATCTATCTAAATATAAAGGTGAGAGCGTGTCTCAAGTGGAGTACTTTAGAATTATTGAAAATCTGATATTCTTGATGAGTTGCACAAGAACAGATATAGCTTATATAATTAGTAAACTAAGCCTCCATTTGGTAACAATTTTTCATTTAAAAAACAATCAATTTTTTTTACCGTTATTTCACTATTCTAACCGTCATTTTTTACTTCTTCATTCACAGGTGGGATCCACTTTTTTCTCAAACAGTCACAAAATAATTCTCAGAATCACTATCGAACAAGTTCTAAGTAAATACATGAGCAATCCAGTAGTTGACAACACGAAAGGAATAGTTAGAATACCAAGGTACTTGAGATATAAACATAAGTAACTCTTTTTACTTGACCTCCACACCTCACCTATACTCGTCTAGGCTCGCAAAGTTGAAACTTGACATCTATGCCTCACCACGCTTTACGCTTTTTATGGTAAAAAGTAAATAGTTTCCTGAAAATAATATTTCAGTATTATAGAACTGCATGTCACCGTGTAAGTTATATGAATTGAGATTCATGGGATTCCTTTGTAAAAAGGACGAGTAATTAAGATATGCAATGGTTGAGAAGTAAATTTTCATGGGTTTTACTTGATGTACAGCATGTTTCTTCTCAAAAGTCCGCCAGAACACACACGTAGGAGGGTGGGTGGTGTATTTTTTAACAAATTTACTTCACGGTGGGCCCCATATCATGAGAATATTTGGCAATCTTTTGTGAAACTTGCTTCTATACAACTGAATTAATCCAATTTTCATAGTCAGTATTGCAATACAAGTATACATATCTTGGGCAACTGGATAGTGAAGTAGACACTGCAAGGTCCTAATGATCACAGATTATCCTCATCCGAATTTATTCGTCTAAATATGTCGGCCTCACAAATGTGTCTTCCTTTGATGTTTCTGCAAAATATGGCTTACGACAAGGCAGCCACTAAAAAGTATCGGAAGGGATGCTGTCACCAACTTCAATCCAAGTGCATGTGGTGGCAAAATGCTATCTAAGCCACATAATGAAGGTTCTGTTTTGATTAATGTTGTTTTTTCTTGTGTCTAGCTTAGTTTACTTGTTTGAGATGTAGTAGAATGAGTTTTTTGATTCAATCAAGCAGGTAGCAACATGATCTTGAGTAGGAACGGACGCAAACATTTGAAGTTATTGGCACAATCAAACTTGCCTAAAAATTGTGAAGAATTATTCATTCGAAAATTTACATCCAAAAAAATATAGCCCATATAATTTTACATCCAAAAATTTACATAGGTATGAATTTAAATTTTTGGATGTAAAATTAAAAAAAAAAAAAAATTGTGCCATATCCCACGTCAAATTTTTTTAATAAAATGTTGGAAATTATATTGAAAATTTGTGTCGCAAAAATAATAATAATTGAAATTTTTTAAAGAATATACGAGTTATACGTCTCTTTTTAAGAAACATGTTTGATGCATCTCTAACTATTTTTGATATCCGTTTGAACGATTTGGTATGCCTACAATGTAGTTCTTGAAATAAGCTTCAAGATGACATAGGCGATTTGTGAATTCAGTTAGCGTACGATCATTGAAAAATTTTTAAAGTTAGCATGTTATCGAAATTCTCGAAATACTGTTTGGAATGACCTATTTTGATAAGTGGTAATATTTGCTACGGTTGGCATTTCAAGCACCATTATCAACTAGAAAACTAGATTGTAAGCACTTCGAAATGATATTAAGAATGCAATATTTCAATTTCATTCGACATCTCATAATGACTTCGAAAATTGAGACAAAAACATAAAAATTTGAAGGGAAAAAAAATAAAAATAAAAGTGAGAACAAAGTTGGGGGTTATGCCCACCCGTGTCCGACCCTGATCTTGAGGGTATTTAAACATATTCTCCCAAAGAGAGAAAATGTTTCTTCTCTTTTGAGTTCCTACCTTGCTATGTGCAAAATCCGGGGCAATCATAGATATAGACAGAAGTATGTATCATTTCTATATAACTTCTCAAAACAAGAAAAGCAATTATGCACCATCTTTCCTTTTTCCCGCTACGTACTGAAAATTCTGGTACAAGAATGGATAATCTGTTAACATCAGAATATTCTGTCCCGTGTGTAAATCTTGTTTTAGTTCGCAAGTACGAGGTAGATTATTTTGTTCGAAATATTATTAAAAGCCATTAGTCTAAAAGTTCATTAGACGCCCTTTATCTTCCCCTTTCAACCTAATACGAACTAGTTCATTCCCATGCTCCTTGCTCCAACATTCCTATATAAGTTGGTTTGCTTCAAGCCTACAAGATTTATGAAAGTCATGTTTGAACATCGAATCGAGAGATGAGAATTTCATTGCAATTAAGTAACAGAAGAAAAACTATTAAAGTGACCAAGTCATCCTATTTTCATGCGAATTCTACATTTTGTTGCTCAATTTTTCATGTTTGGAAGTCTTTGGACATCTTAGCTTAAGGATAGCTTGGCAGGAACGTAAGTAATTTCTTCACAAACTCATGGTCGAGTTTTCTCTACCCCATTGGCAATGGTCTCGACTGCAACATCTTCAGGATTCTCATTTTTTCTCAGCTTCCCGCTCTTCAAAAGTTCCCAATCTGTGCTTTGCTTTGTATCCCGGGGAATCAACAAACACTTCTCGAACTATTTTGAGATTAGGCCATCCCTTCCACCTCCATAGCCTCTCTACTTTTTCTAATTGTGTTTGTATACACATACTGATTCTCATTATAATCAAGAAATTCATGTCAATGGCAAATGAACTCTCAACAAACGAGAACACAAGAAGCCATTTTCTAACACATCGATACATCACATTATGCAGTCATCTTCCCATTTTTTTTGGAAAAGAAGTGATGTGTTGTTGAGGTATCAAAATTATGTAGAATTTCTTGCTCAAACTGCCATTAATAATATCACTCGTAGATCTATCATCATCAACGTTTCATTATCGGTGACACTAAATTTTTGAATTTAACTTCATAGCTATGTTTAGGATTAAATGATTGACCAACTTTTTACTGAAACAAGAGTCAATATTTATATTGTATATTTGGCAATTTTTCATGGGAAGTCCCAAACCCTCGGCAAATATGCAAATAGATCCCCAACAAAATTTACTTTGAACTAAATTTGAAAGCATGGTTGCCATAAAGCTCTGTTGAATCAGACAGCTTTATATTCCTGTACATTTTTGGTGTCCTTTTTCCTTGAGAGGCATTAGGGTCCCCAAGACCAACACCCTCATCCCCCCTTCCATAATGAAGCTCATCTTTTCAAGATTTAGGATTATGTATATTTGCATAAGTTCATAGGCATTTTACAGCATATTTGATACGTTAAACTAAACCCTACTCAACAAGATTGATTCACGAATCAAGAAGCTAAAAACTTTTTGTTTATTGTACACACAACTTGACATAAAACGCGACAGTAATTTATTTGACCATTAAAACCAAGCGATGGGAGTAATTCGACTCATCTATGCAGATCATGAATGCTCTGCAATTATTTGGTACAGCTCTACGAGAAACCCAAGATAATTTATGCAAAGAAAACTGTGAAAGCAGAGCCACCTGCATGGAATTGTCTGATTCTCCTCTCCAAACGGAGGATTGCCTGCTGATTTAATCATGTGCAAAATCCCTTGTGCAGCCTTTACTTTGGAGCCATAATCGAGCTCCTTTCACCTGGAATTAGTAAATGAACCGAGAAAGAGATGACCACATCATCAAAAGAATCCATCTATGAAACCAAAATGTTGAGATACTAGGTTAACCAGAGGGACACAAACGTCTCCAGCACATATTTTGTCGTTCCACATGATTCACGGGAACTACAGGAAAAATAGAAAGTTATTGAGGATAAGCAATTAAAAAATTGTGGGTTTCCCAGAGGAATCAGACATGAGACCATTCCCAATAAGACTTATTCATCCTTATGAGAGAAAGGAAGCGAAAGAAAGCTCGGTTACTGTAACATTCAAATCTGTCAAGTTTACTCACCACCTATAGATGTTTGTTTCGAAAAACTAAAAAGCAAAAGAAAGCTGTAAAATTCAAGTCTGTCAAGTTTACTCACACCACCTATAGATGTTTGTTTCGGAAAACTAAAAAGCAAAATAAGCTTAAAAAATTCTTTGGCCCTGATATAAAAGCAGCAGCATCAATAACATTTATTATATAAAAAGAAAATAAAGTGCTGGAACATACCTGTAGGTATCACAACTCTTTGTTACACAGTTTGATCCTTCAACAACCAGAAAGGAGCCCAATCAGAACTCCCTTTTTATGACTTTAATCAGGCATGCATTATCTTTTTAAGCGTTCTTGGAACCCCTCTGTTAGATTAAATTTGATACAAGCATCAGATATCAGGCCATCTAAAAGCCATGCATCGAGTCCTTAATGCAAGTACGGCAGGGTCAAATGTGATCTTCCTATTTCACCACTAACGTAACCAACCACCCAGAATAAGGCTCTTCAATAAAATTAAATCCCAAATGTCCCATTATAAAGATTGCCTGAACTAGGCATACGGATCTCTGAATCTTCATGTCCACTGTAGAGTTTAGTATATCTCAATCTCTCATTCCTGAGTAGATCTGCCATACCCAATTTATTTCCACCCTGCACCTCATTCCACCCTTCCCATTGACCGTTGGACGCTATTGCATTTCTGGACTGAGGGATAGTTGATTGAGAAAAGGGAGACCGATTGTTGACTAATCTTTGCTCCACAACCCCAGAAGGAATTCCATAAGCATTCCCGAGAGATGAAAAACCACCCCCCACGTCAGCAAATCTTTGGTTCTGATGCAGAGGAAGAGATCTTTGTAACAAAGATTGAAATCTTGTCTCTTCAAATGTGACTTGAGGAGAAAAAATTGATCTCATGTCTAAGCTTGGGCCGTTCAGACCACCTGGCAGCATCCCCTTGCCAACTGCCAAAATTGCAGGATCCTTAAAGTCAAAGTCTCCATTATTGATAGTATGACCACTTGGTGGTGCTTGATACTGATTCCTTAACAAGGAAGCATCAAGTTCATGATTTCCTGCAGAATATAGAACAAAATCATCAGGCAATATCCGCCGCAACTAAACCTAAAAACAAGTGCACTGCATAAATTTACCAACCAGAGCGTGTGCCCGAAATCTGCTCTGCCCTTTCATAATAAGTAAAGCCTGGAGGTGGTGCCCTACTGGGAACTGAAAACCCTGGAGGAGCAGAAATCTGAGGTTTTGAAACTGTTTGAAGACAAAGGAAAAGAATGTTTGAGATGGAGGAATTAAAGAACTGAATCGTGAGGAAATATGATGGGGGAAAAAAGGTCGCCTCTATAACGAAGTAAATGAATAACCAAAAACTATATTTGTAGCTCTAAAGCTGGCTGATCAGTAAACTGACAGCGGCAAAACATCAATGTGCCCATTCAGTGTCAAGATACAAGTTGCTAAAGGAAACATGAATAGGACAGCACTGCACAAGCATAACCATCAAAATCAAAATCATATAGCAACTACATTTCCAGAGAACATGATTCCAAATGGAATGTTCACTTTACAGAGAGGTCAATGTACAAGGAGACAGTTTTCAAGACAAAGGTATTGAAAACATCTACAGATCCAAAGAAAATGACAACCAAGTGAAAGAAATAAAAATAAACAATAGCTCACCCAAAAGCTTGTCAGAAGATAGATTAGAATGACTGCCAGCAAAAATATCTGATTCTACACCATTAAATGCAGAGAAACCATTGGAGTTACCAAACTTCTCAAGATGGAAATTCTTGGTGGTGGAATCATGTACAAAAGGCAGCTGTTTAAAGGGTTGTTCGACATAATTGACAGATGGTTCAAAGTTTGATACTTGTCTCCTGGGTTCCCCCCCTCTAGCAAAAGAAAACCTTGATTGATTGCTACTCTGAACTTTCAATGTACTTGGCATTCCGGATGACCCTTGCTGTTTACCTGTTTCACCCAACAACTTAGCCAGGTTCTGAGGCGAAGTCAGCGGCTCATCCCATGAGTCAAAGTCCAGTGACATGATATTTGATATTATTCTGCTCTCCCTAATATGATCTGCAGCATCACGGCCTCCACTGGCTACTTCCCCTTCAAATCTTCCTAAAAGCAACCCATTATCCTTGTTTGGAAACGAATAAGAATATTCATCATTATTAACAAACTCAGAAGTATTAATCAGATTGTTAGAATGTCCATTAGACATAATAGGACCGCCCAAAGCTGGAATTAGTAAATTTTCTTTTCTATTCGCAAGTTTCCCATGCAGGTCAACACTGATTGCACCATCCGAAATATTATGCTGTGAAAAATGAATATTAGAATGCTTTGAAAGACCAGAAGAGTGTGAGAAATCTGGTACATGCCTTCTATTAGCAGGAGCCTCAGGACTTTTCCTATCAAAAGATAACAAATCAGCTAGAATCTCGCGTGAGTCAATTTGCAGAACTTCTGTCTGCATTCCTGATCCCAGATCTGACTGAATATTTGCAACAAAAACCTCATCGGTCAAATTTGCAGATTTTCCAGCCAGCTGAGAAGTCAATGGTTCTCTAAGGTGCTCAGAGTAGCCATTCTGCAATTGTTGATATCTAGCAATGCTTGTTGACATAATATTAGAAGCTACATTCTCAATGTTTCCATCTGTGGTGTCCAAGGAATCTTTGTCCAAAGCAGGTCCACAAGACTTTAGGGATAGATCACATAACTTAGTAGTATTATGTAAATTGCTGGCATGACTACCCTTATCCTCGGAAGTCAGGTGAACATCTAGCTGCCTGTTTATAGGTGAAGTAACAGGAAGTGCAGATGTGGAAAAACTCTCAGAAGCAGTATTTATGGTATCTGTTCTTAATTTATTTTTAACAGGTTCTACAATTTCCAGTTTGCTATTTTGTTGAGCTTTGCTGCTTTCTTCACTGGGATCAAACTTCTTGCCAGTATCACCATGCAAAGTAGAAATCCGACTTGGACTTGCAACTGAAGTAGAAAATGTCACTGGACCATTGCATCCATCAGGTTTCTGCTCAAGTGTTCCAGTGGAACACGGTATACTTGTGGATGATGGCTGACTATGGGAAGCGCGAATTCCCCTAGTCAAACCAATTGAAAGATAAGAAACCGTATTGAACACAAATTAAAAGAGACATATCAGCAGATGACATACCACAAGGCTCCAGCAGGAAGAGAAGCGGATCCACTATTGGATGCTGCAGCTCTAACACTGCTCACTGAATTCTGCTAACCAAGTAAGAAGCCTCTTTAGAATGGAAAAAAGCAGTGTATTTCAGCAGTGATCACCATTCAAATCAGGATCGCCACAAAAATAATGCAAATTTAAGTGCTTGCTTGACCAGGCAAAAGTGCTTATAAGCAATATGTCCCAAGGAACGTGGTTAAAGAGTAGGTAAAAGTTGTAGGTCCTACTAAATAGAGTTTGATCGGCTTATAAACAATTATAAGCTTTGCTAATCCCATACTAATCCTCAACTTATTTAGTATCAAAATTATTAAACACATTGGTCAAAATGATTTGGAGAGTTCTCCAAGTCGAAAGTAGCATATTCATAGGAAACAGAAAGACAAGAACAAGATGTTCAGGAAAGAGAGGGGCGGGGGGAGGAATCTTACATTTGTACAGGTAGCAGTTTCACTTGAAGGCTTCCCTGAAGAAGCGGAGCTGTTATTGAAGTACTCATCTGCTGGTGGTGGTAGCATACTTCCCGAACGGCGTTGCATACTATTGGTGGCATCAGTGATATGCTGAACTCTACTCCTTTGCAATCATCAGGTTAATTCACTATTCGATGAATGGTCACAGGAGACAACAAAAAATTCCAACCAAAAACTAGAATATATTGATTGATCAACAAAGGGATACATGGGAATATCTGATCATCACAAGTTTCAAAATCTAAACTTGAAGAAAATAAATCAGGTGGGGCCGAAGACGCCATAAAACTGATGTACTGTAACAGCATCTTCTTCAAATAGATGTGCATATAAATAAAAAAATTGTGCTACTGCAGCCTTTTCAAGGAAAATTAGCCTCACTTAAAACTTCAAATCTTGATTTACATAATACTGCCACACTCAAGTCACTTGAGACCCTTGTGTGTACCAGTGCCACAAACCGAAATATTATAATCCCAAAGGATTAGTTCCATAAGAAAACAATTCAACATCAATGTCAATTATTTAAATTTCCAAACAACTCTATTATTTTAATATAACTTAACTAAAAAATAAAAGATCCAGAATGAATCTCAATGACATAAACTAAAATATACTAGGTCAGTTGCCACCAATTCCACTATTTTACTATAACTTAAATAAAAACGTAAACATCCAGAATGACTCAATTACAAAAACTATTCAACAGATTGATTTGCAAAAAGGTTTTGATAATTATAAACGCTAGCTACCTAACTAATAGCTGCAGAACATTATTTTGAAGAGCTAAGAAAGCACTAAAAACATTGACAGCTGTTTTCCAAGTATACAGGATATGCATCAGATATATGAAGCATTTAATAGTTTCATCACCAATGATCACGATGAAAACAGTCAGACAACACTAACTGAAGTACCGGCCAATAGGGTGAGCAACTTGTGACAAGAAATTTTGTTGTTAAGAGGAAACTTTCATTGAGTACATAGAAAAGGTATATAAAATTGAACCAATCAACCAAACAAAAAATGGTACCAGAAAATATTAGCTTTCATAAGAAAAAATCAGAAAAATTCCAATACGTAGATGGTGAGGAAGTGAGACAAGCCTGTTCTAGCTTACTGAGTAAGCAACTCAGATTATCGTAGATGAGATTGTTTGGAGATACCAAACAAATGATGTCACATCCAGTCTACAAAAATAACAAGAACTCTACAATACATGAACCCTCACACAAGTCACACGATAAATCTGGTAGGAATCTGCACGTTACCTTGTGTACGCGGATAATATTTCGTCCTTAGTAAAACTATCTTCTTGTAAGCCAAACTCGTGCAAATATAGACAATCTGGGTTGCTGCAGGGCTAGACAAAAAGGTAATTCTAATTTAGGGTATACTACAAATAAATCAACATGCTACAGCTACAGATAAATATTTGAGTGTATGGATAATATGAAAGACCCAATAACCAGTGAGCAATTCTAAGCCCATAATTTCATTAGAAATCATTCAGAGACCATACCACATTTCTCAGCCACGCATGACAATATTTAGTTGTGCCAAAGCAAGCCCTGCAATGTTGAATTTCAAACAACTATCTAGTAAATCAAAAAAGAAATCACAATACATGAAAGTTTCCACTCACTTTAAAGAGCTACCCTCCAAAACAAATCCATGTACTGACCGGATACACCGAATTGCTTCCTCTTCCTTAGAATAAGTAATATATCTAGTCCAAACAAACAATCGTAAACAAATAAATGACAAGACTACGTAATAACTTCAAAATAATTCACGACTATTAGTAAAGAAACATATATCCTATATGCACAATATATTACCATATATGAACTCCAGTAAATAGATCAAAAACATAGTGCAAGACAGACACTCGACACAGGAATGATGAGAAAAGATGTGTCCTCAAAGTAATTCTAATCAACAATGTTTAAAATTAAACTCGTCATAAAAATATAAAAAATGTTTGTTGTTCAAAAAGTGAATTGAATGAGTTAAAGTTCCCATTTTTAACATCTGTATAGACTAAATAATAGTGAACACAATGTCCATTCCATAGCAACTCAATATTTGACAATCATATATAAATTAGGAAATTTAAGCACAGCTTGAAGATACATACAAGTCCTTGGAAAAGAATGATTACTTCTGGAAACTTCAATGCTACAGGAGTTACTAACACCATGAACATTTATATTTGAAGGCACTGTAATATTATTAGAACAATGAATGGTATATAGGAACTTACACGCTGCACGTACTATTTGCAAAATGTTGTATAGCACCAGCAGCTGTCCGTGATATAGACACCTTCAGCACCTTTCCATATTGACCAAAATAATCTTTGCCTTGGAGAAGCTGCTTCAAGAAAATAGTATAAAGACGCCAAAGAGATGGGCAGGAAGGGAAGATCAAAGAGAAGGGATACATACATCCTCATCTGCTAGATTAAGTGGCAACCCCACAACGTAAACAAGATTCCTTTGGATCACTCGTACACTGCTAAGTTGCTTCCGCCCTTCAGATGTTTTGCTCTTTCCCTTTTGTGATTTTAGCTTTTTCTCTATATTCATTTCTGAAACCAATCTGTTACAATGATCAAGAAGTCCATGATGTTAGCTGAAAGAACATACTATACTGTTGTCAAAGGGAGCAAGCTGTTATAGAGAATTTCAATTAACACCCAATGCTAATTACCTTTCACACTTAGCTCCCATCCCAACAATCTTTTCCTTATTATAAGGAGTGCGACATGCTGGACACCGCCCTTCCATCTCATCTTTCTCCGCCATATCCATAATGTGATGCCAGCACCAAATACAAATCTAGAAAAATGTGAAACAACGTATATTTCCAGATAAGCACCAAAGGAAAAATAAATAAACAAATAAAACTGTTGCCAGTTTATTCAAGAAATAGAGAATTAATCTGGTTAGTCAATTGATGGTAAATTGACACTTATGACGAAGTGCCTAAAAAATCCATAACCATCTATCACTTCATCGTAGGAGATTGAAGATTTGCTAGTAAATTGGGTTGTTTTAGGCACAAAAGTTCACTTGTTATCTAGCATCAATGCAGGGATTAGATGTCAATTATGAATACATTTTTTTCCTCCACATCGGCTGGCTGTAAGGTAAAATTGGCAGTTTTTACCCCGACCAGTTCCTCTCATCAGACCGCCAACACTCACCGCCCAACAGCAAAAAGAAATCGAGGGGAAAAAATGATGAATGTCTACATTCCATAAAGTAATAACGAAAATGTAGATAATTTTTCCTAGTTGATGAGGCACATGCAAAACCTTGTCAGCCATGGATTCCATTCAAAAATTTTGTGACCCTTCAGCAATCAAGTGCAATTCAGATCAGAAGTCACCTTATTTTACTTCTAACTCCATCTAAGTAAAGATTATCTGAAATTTAATCAATATTCCAGAAACCCAATATCAATCAACAAGATCCTTTTAGTAATGTTTGAGAAGAAGCTAATGACTTATTACGCTAATTAGATATACTATCAGGCATAAGTGCATCTTTTTATCTCCACATTTCATCTAAATCTTTACATAAATCATCCCTGGCTATCACGCTGAGCTTGAGCTAACATTAAATCCAATCTACAAGCTCTTTAAAAGCTGTGTTTCTATGGAGGTACACCGGTGGTAGAGCTGGATTTAATTGCGGGTGCCAAGTTATTGGTAATTTCAGACAAGCAAAGTAATAGGCAGCTATTACATCATGGGCCTCATGGTGATCACTTGCACACAACATTCACAGTATTTGTCGTGTGGGTCTTGCATTGTGAGGGAATTGGCTGACAAGTTCCATCCTTATTCTACCTAACTTTCAATGTTAATAATTCGTAGACAAACCATTTCATGCCAAAATTTGATGGTATGTACAAAGATAAATCTAAAGATGTAAACAGTGAATAGAAAAAAAGACTGTCCCCCCACCAAAACACAATGCCAACAACAACAAAATCACAGCACTGACTTCATTTCATCGATCAGTAAGAGATCGTGAAAATGATAATTTAATTTGAACCAGAAAAATACTGTAATTTCAAGGTCTGATAAGTCCATTTTTACAGGCCAAATCTAATGAGGTAGGTAAACCTGGCCTGTAGTTAACAGGCATTTTAATGGTTAATCGCTTGCTAATGCATCATTGGCCTGGAATACCAAATTCGGAACAATTCCAAGGAAACAATAATATAATGGTCAATGAGCACTCTCTTCTATTCTTCTTTTCATCGATCAGAATGAGATCATGAAAATGCTAATTTGATTTCAAACTGGATAACATATAAATTTCAGAGCCTGATGAGTCTGTCTATATCTGTAGGCTAAATCTAATAAGGTAGGTGAACCCAGAAAGTAGTTAGGCATTTTAATGGGTTGACCACCTGCTATGCATCATTGGCATAGAATAAAGTTCCATATGATTCTAATAAACAATAACATAATAGCCAATCAGGGTCTTCTCTGAAAAATTGTTCCCGACCAGTGGGCGTTCTACCTCCACGTAGCATTGCTCCATGACATCAAAAAACTATTTGGAATACAACTAACATATAAAGTTCCGGCAATTTAAAAACAATAAACGCCAAGAAAGAGAAACGGTCAAAAACCTCATAACCACACTTGCAAGGTTTCAGCTGCTGATCAGTCAAATCCATCTCCTCAGCACAGAGAGGACAAGTTTTTTGGTCGCTGCTCATGCTTCGCTGCAAAAACATAAATATCATTTAATTAGATGATAAATAGTACTGGATAAATATTAGTAAATCTCCACTATAAACCAAAATGGAAAGTAAGTTAAACTGAATTTAATTTACAAATGATGGTAATAAGCAGGGTTTCCACGACCACAGCCCACAGATAATTAGATCAATGCACCAAAAATGTAAAATTAAGGGAAATACAAAAGAAATATTAAAGGAATTGAAGAAGAAAATCAGACTCCAGGCAAAAAAAAAATAAAAAATTTAAACTTTCATATAAGACCCACTTTTACCTACCCAATCCAAAAATCGAAACATAAAAAACTTCTATCCGCCACCACAAGAGTTCAGATGCTTTTTCCCATTAGGATGAGGCATATATTCATCAATTAAAACGATTAATCGCAGAATATTAATCAATTAAAACCAAACTAAATCCAGCACAGAAAGATAAAAAATGATCTCCGTATACAAAAAAATAAATCTAGACTTCACTAAATCCAATAAAAAAGAACACTCACGAACATTAACTGAAATTAAAGCAACACGGAATTTTAGAAAAATTTATAACAAAAATCAGTTTCGTTTATAAGGAAAAAAAATAGGGATCTCGATAGGGAATTGAGATTGGAGGGGCGAGAACTTACAGCGGGTGATTGAATCGAGAAATGAGGAAAAAAGATTAAGCGATATAGAGATGTAGATATAGAGAAAAAACAGAAAGTCACAAAGACGACAATACTGCGAAAGAGAATTTGTGAGAGGGCATCGACGTTGGATGGTTGGTCATTTTATGCTGCTGCTATTCGGGTTCGGATCTGGTTTCATACCCAATTTCTTTTGTTCTTTTTCTTTTTCTTTTTTTTCACGAGTAGAAATGATTTGGTTTTCGACCTACTAGTTGCCAAAATAAAGTGACAATACACAGCTAGAAGTAGATCTTGACAAGGGTGGATAACCCTTCCTTGTCTTCTGGTTATTTCAGTATTTCTTAGGGATGGCAATTGCATTATGTGGGTTGATTCATCTGAAATTTTTGAGAGATGGAGCCGAGATGAGGCAAGAGCGGGATAAAAAAAATTCTCCATTAAATCTTTTTTAATTAATCACTTATTTGTAAGATAATTTAAGTTAAAAATATAAAAATAAAATTACATATCCCCGTTACCTTAAAAAGATTATTCCAACATTACTATTCATCCTGAAACAGAGATTTCACATTAAACTGGTTCCCTATTATAGCTAAACTCGTTCAGTATTAATTTCACTATAATCCCCCTTTAATTATTTATATTGTTCATTCATATAAATGAAATGAATGTGTTGCTTTATTGCTGTTAATTATTGACTTATACAACTCATGTACTATAGTTGTCACCTTTAAAAATATATTGTCACTGTTCATTCAATCGTATTCCTGCTACAATAAAAGAGTGAATATGGCGAGAACTATTCATTCAGGACGTATTTTGTGTTTCCCTAATTCACCATTGAATATCACATAATATCTCACTTCACTCCTGAAATCATTACTAATAGTCTTCCTACGAATGCGTGGTGTTGCTGTTTTACCTGATTTGAATTTTTATGTCAAAAAAATAGTTGACGTCATACTACATAATATTTTTTTAAGAAAATAATGTAAATTATATTGAGAAAATTGTTGAAAAAAAATAATAAATATTAATAAAATAATTGATTTGTTTTAAGAAAAAATACAAGTTATACGCATTTTTTAACACACATGTTTGATGTATGTTTAACTATTTTTTATATTCATTTAGCTCGTTAGATGTGTTTATGATATAGTTCTCGAAATAAGTTTCGAGAGAATATAGAAGATTTATACATTCGACTACCGTACAATCGTCGAAAAATTTTTAGAGCTAACTTGTTATCGAAATTCTTAATTTTTTAAATGATGTCTCTTTTGACATTAAAAAAATCTCTGCTACAATAAAAGAGTGAATGTGGTGAGCACTATTCATTCAGGACGTATTTTGTGTTTTCCTATTTATCTTTGAATATCTCACTTCACTTTTGAAATCACTACTAATGGTCTTCCTACGCAAGTGTGGTGCTGCTGTGTTGCCTGATTTGAATTTTTACGTCCAAAAAAAAAAGTTTATGTCATACAACATTAGATTTTTTTAAAGAAAATGATGTAAATTATATTGAGAAATTTGTTGCGAAAAAATAATAAATATTAATAAAATAATTGATTTTTTTAAGAGAAATACGAGTTATACGAACTTTTTAACACACATGTTTGATATATATTTAACTATTTTCGATATTTATTTAACTCATTCGATGTATCTATGGTATAGTTCTCGAAATTAGATTCGAGAGAATATAGAAGATTTATGTATTCGACTACTGTACAATCGTCGATGAATTTTTAAAGGTAGCTTGTTATCAAAATTCTAAATTTTTTAAATGATATCTCTTTTGACATTAAAAAAATTAAAAATTTATTAGAAAATTTTCTAAATGACGTTAAAAATTTTATCCCTACTACAATAAAAGAGTGAATGTGTCGAGCACTACTCAGTCATGACGTATTTGGTGTTTCCCTATTTTACCTTGAATATCCCATAATATCATATTTTAATCATGAAATCATTACTAATGGTCTTCCTACGTGTGTGGTGGTGCTGTTTTACCTTATTTGAATTTTTACATCAAAAAAAAAAAAATTAACGTCATACCACATTATATTTTTTTTAAGAAAATGATGTAAATTATATTGAAAAAATTCTTGCGAAAAAATAATAAATATTAATAAAATAATTAATTTTTTTAAAAGAAAAATGATGAGTTATACGCATTTTTAACACACACGTTTGATGTACGTTTAACTATTCTTAATATTCATTTAGATTATTCAATGTGTTTATAATATAGTTCTCAAAATGAATTTCAAGACAATATAGAAAATTTATGTATTTTCAACTACCGTACAATCGTCGATAAATTTTTAAAATTAGCTTGTTATCGAAATTCTTAATTTTTTAAATGATGTCTCTTTTGACATTAAAAAAATTTAAAAGTTTATTAGAAAATTTTCTAAATGGCGTCAAAAATTATTGTCGCGGAAAAATAATAAATATTAATAAAATAATTATTTTTTTAAGAACAAAGACGAGTTGTATGCATTTTTTAACACACACGCTTGATGTATGTTTAACTATTTTCAATATTTATTTAGATCACTTGATGTGTCTATGATATAGCTCTTGAAATGAGTTTCGAGATAATATAGAAGATTCATGATAGATTTTTATATAATAATAAAAAACTAAATAAATCACCCAATGAAAAAAATGACACAAAAAAAAAAACCAAACATATTGTTTTGCTCTGTGTCACGAAGCAATTTGGCTCCTAGCATCTAGGAGCATCCAGAAGCACAATTGCTCCGTGCATGAAGCATTGTGCCACAATAATTTTTTTTCTCTTTTTTCTGTAGTGATTGATATATTTTTTATTCAAATCTATTTTATCCTTATAACATGACACGAAGTATGTTGAATGATATATATTGTTTATTCCTAAAAGTAGTTGCGATAAATTAAAGTAAAACTTAACACAATGTTGAAATATTAAATTTGACAATATTGAATATTTTAGATGTATATAAATTTTGGAGTATTAAATTCAAAAATATCAAAATTGGGTGATTAAATAAAAATCTCAACCCTATTTAAGTGACAAAATATTATATTGTGGCTCAACTTGTTTTTAGCTCCATTTTTTTTCTCTCTTTTATTTTAATCGCAGAATCTTCCATAAAATAATATTACACGTAAATAAAAAAAACTTGTCATTAAATCGATTGGATATTAAATAATAAAAAAAGATCCGATTAATTACACAATTTAATGATATTGAATATAATTATCATCAAATACGTCCTTTATATGTAAAATAACCACTCAGACAAAAATAATGTTTGATGTATAAATTATGAGCTCCCAAAAAATATATTTCAATTATAGCAACACAAAATTGAGGCTAACTAATTTTTCATCTTAATTATTTTAGCATCTGAAAAAATTTTATATACAAAAGAAATTCGATCATTTTTAGAAATTTTTTCTTTTTGTTACTTTTTCCTCTCGATCAATTAATTTTTTAAATAATCTAATAAAATTTTTGACATCATTTAGAAAAATTTTTAATAAACTTTTAATTTTTTTTAATGTCAGAAGTGTGTTATATATGAAGATTACATTTTTATTTATCATTTTAAACAATTAATCAAATTTGTATATTTATTGATAGAAATGAATAGATATTTTGATATTTTGACACGTTAATATTACCTAAAAAACGACATAGCCCGTGCATTGCACAAGTGGAAAACTAGTAATAAATAAAAGCATTCATGGCGGATACCATGTTTTCTCTTGTTTAGGCGGGATAAATCAGGTCGTGGACAGGGATTTTTCCATTCCTAGATTGGACTTGGGTGGGTTGGAATGGATCAGGACTACCTTCTCCATTCTTTGCCTTGCTTGGATTTTTAGGAGTAAAGGACGAGGATAAAAAATCTCAATTTTTCGCCTTTGCTTACTTTTTAATATGCTTATTTTATTTTTAAAAATTTAAAGCACAAAAAATATAATATCAAAAGTTATGGTGAGTTTGAGGAGGTGATGATAAGAACCATGAGACGAAGGCTAGCAAAGATTCATTGATTGTGAGAAAAAGATCAGTGATGAGATCGCGAGCAAAAAAATTCAAAGAACCCATGAGATTACTTGTCCAAGCTACGTGGGCCAACGGTTTGAATGTAACGAGTAATAGTAAGACACAAAGTTTCAAAATAGGCATATAAGAAAAAACAACCTTAGTGCACTTAATTCAAATTAAGTTAGAAGAAGTGAAGCCTAGAGTGTAGCTAGAAAAGTGACAAACATGTAGGCAAAATAGGTTGCGCACCCACAAAAGCAAAATTTTAATCCGAGCCAAATCAATTGAACGGCACCGTGAGAGAAAACACAATGCACACACAGTACAAAAATCTGAAGATATATATATATATATGTATATATATGTATACATATATATATATATATATATATATATGTGTGTGTACACATGTGTACATGTGTACACATGTGTACATATGTACACATGTACATATGTGTATATATATATATGTATACATATATGTACATGTGTACATATGTACATGTGTACATATGTACACATGTGTACACATGTACACATGTGTACACACACACATATATATATATATGTATACATATATATATACATATACATGTGTACATATGTACACATGTGTACACATGTACACATGTGTACACACACACACATATATATATATATATGTATACATATATATACATATATATATATATCTTCAGATTTTTGTACTGTGTGTGCATTGTGTTTTCTCTCACGGTGCCGTTCAATTGATTTGGCTACATATGTATACATATGTACATATGTACATATCTATATATATGTACATATATATATATATAGAGAGAGAGAGAGATGTTTTACAAGTTATTTAGGGTTTACTTTGATGATATTTTAGAACTAGTAAGAATTTAGATGAGCATATAGAACATTTGAGTTATGAGCTTGTTGTCTTGAAGCGGGAATAATTTTACGGTAACTTTAAAAAGTGCACATTTTATATGAAAAAAAGTTATTTTTTTTTTATTTATATTGTTAATGCAAAGGGTATTGAAGTTGATGAGGATAAAAAATCAAAGCCATCAAAGAATGGACAACACTTGCATAACTAAGGTAAGAAGCTTTCATGATTTAGGTAACCTTTTTTAGGTGATTTGTTAAAGATTTTAGCAAACTTGCCACACTACTAACTGAGATTGTGAAAAAGAATGTAGGATTCTACTGGGCATTGAACAAAAACATGTATTTAATACTATTAAGGATACCTTGTGATCTACACCTGTTTTATTATTACCTAATTTTGACAAAACATTTTAGATTAAATGTGATGCCTCAAGTATAAGAATTAGAGCTGTTTTAATGCTGAATAGGAGGCCAATAGCTTATAGCTTATTTTAGTAAAAAGCTATGTGGGGTAGCTTTGGGTTATCCTACATATAACATAGAGATTTTATGCATTTGTTTGAGTTTTGGAGACATAACAGCACTACTTTTGGTCTAAGTAGTTTGTAATCCATACTGATCATGAGTCATTGAAACATACTTATTCACATTCCATGACCCAAACACATAGTCCACTTAACTAACACTATACGAGAAACACATATGTGACATAAAAGGATGAAACTGTTGTCCTATGATTGATTATAATAAACAAGTTAATCTTATTTAACAATTGAATTAAAGTGATTATAGTCTTCAAATCATCCGCTAATAAATTGATTGATCATCGTCAAAATATCAAAATCAAGACTCACAAATTTAACTCATGAAGAAGGTCATGATCAAAGTCACATATTCAAGATAATTCCTTCAGAAATAGATCTTAAAAGACAAACGTGAAAGAAAGATTAAGACGAGAGCCTAAAGGCCAAACTTTAAATCAAGATCAAAGACTAGATTTTTTATGTCAAATGTAAAGGTACTAATACTTTGACATTTAGCAACTAATGATAAAAGCTCAAAAATCATTTTCTTAGCTAAAAGCTATTTTGATTATCACTTGCATAAAATGTTTTGATCCAAAATAAAATTGGTTTTCAAAATTATGTTTGGACTTAGATTATATTTTAAAACATTATTTGCCTAGAAAACAAGTTAAACACTCTTTCCAAAAGTCTACACTTGTCAAAATATTCAAATCAGATCAAACATAGTCAAAAATGGAAAAACTGGTTGAACCGTTCCCAACTGGCCAAATCGATTGGGCGTTTGAATCATCATCTAGACGAAGGTGGTGAACATCCGAATTGATTGTCCAAAGTCTCGGAGAGTTTTGACGAACGTTCGGTTGATGCAACAGTCTGATTTTTTACTGTTATGATTTCAAACGCATAATGACTATTTTGGTCGTCCGAATCCAAGGACAAACGTCTGGTTAGTTGTTCGGTTCAATAGAGTGTTTTGCTTATTGGGCCCTATAAATACCCTTACTCTTTCCATTCTTTGTAAGAGTTTCAAGAGCATTAAGTGAGATATATTTCGAAATAATTCTTTGAGGCTACATTGGATTCATTTCATTTATTAATTAATATACAAAACTTTGATTGATTCAAGTTTTTTATCAACTTCATCAAAGTTTTTCTTTTCTATTTTTGTACTTCACTTATTTCAATCATTCATAAAAGGGAGATATATTTCGAAGAAAAAATTTGAACTTACGTTGCATTTATTTCTTCTACTTCTCTATAATAAAACTTAAATTAATTGAATCAAACTTGTAAAATCATAATATTGATCAAAGTTTCTCATCTATCTTTTTTTGGCATTTAACGTATCACTATCATTCATTAAACGAGATATATATTTAAAGAAGATTATTGAACTTACATTTTATTTATTTATGTTTGAACTTACATTGTATTTTCTTTTCTTCTTCTCATTGAAAAAGCTTAGATTTATTGAATCAAACATTTAATTACTAATTTATCAAATTTTTCATTTAACACTTGAGCTATCATTTGTTGTTATTCAATAAAGTGTTAGCTTTTCTCAGTACTTAATTCATTTATATTGTTTATCATGAGAATAGTTCGTTGTAAAATTATTTTATTATACTTGTAGGTCATATTCAGGTTTCGCAAAGCTTAATACTGTATAAGGATCAGTGTTCATTGTCTGTAAGTCATCGAAAATATTGTAAAGAGTTGGAATGCACCATCAGTCAATCAATATAGTGAAAAACCATTGCTCATATCGAAGATCTTAATAATGGATGATGTAGATCATTGCTTTGATCAAACTTTTACAATTATATTATTTGCATCATCTCTTCCTTTTTACTTATTGCTTATTATTTGAATTAATATATTTAGTCTTTACTTGCTTGAATTTAGATTGGTTCTTTGAAAAGTTTTAAAAATCAATTTACCCCTCCTCTTAATTAGTTATTCTTGGGCTATCAATTGGTATCAAAACAAGTTTGAACTTAAAATCTCACAATCTTAAGTAATAGCTAACCACAATCTTTAAAATCTTTAGGGGCATTCTACAAATCGTCCTCCTTTTTATCGATGGTATACATATAACTATTAAAAAGCTAGAATGATGACTTATATTCAATCAATAAATTATAATGTTAGAGAAGTTATTGAATTTGGTCCATGTGTGCCTAAAAAAGTTATTAAAGTTGATGAAAAGCCATATTAAACCATTTCAAAAACAAAGAAGAGTACGATGAAGAGGATAAAAGAAAATCATCTTTAAAAGTTAAAACCAAAAATATAGTATATTGTGCATCAGATAAAGATGAATTTAATCGTACTAGCACATGTGATTTCACTTTATGATAGGTGGCCTGCTTTAGAAGTTATACACTTAGGCACTAACAAAGTAAAAGAAACCAAGATAAATCTTTTGGTAAGGAATATGAAAATTTCTTTATAAAAGAAAATGAACCTATTATTAATATGATTACTTGTTTCACCGATATTGTCAATAGTCTCGAAGACTTTGATCGAAAATTTACTAACGGTGAACTTGTGAGTAAAATGCTTAGGCCTCTCTAGGAAGATTGGAGCTTACCCACTATATTCGGTCTTCACAATCCGCCTACGTGGAAGATAGCTTTTATACGTGGTCGTTAAATGAAGCAAATGGAAGGATCAACTGCCCAATCAGATGAACCAAAAATGTCTCACCCAATTCCAACACTGAAGTTGCGATTTGGGAACCAATTTTCTCCAAAAACACTCGGTCTCCATCGACTCCGAAGGTGAAATCTTTCTCGACTACTCCCTAATCCCCCAAAATCAATCTTTAGCGAATTTGAAGCACCCCAAAGGGCGGTTGTTGAATCGATTAAATGGAGAGATTGCTTGAAGGTAATTCAGAAAATTTTTCCCTTTTTGTATTTTCCATCACTGGCTTTGTAGTGCAAACTGGTTTTGTTGTTCTTACTGAGCTGTTGTTCAAGGCTCCAATTTTCAATACTAAAGTGCAATCCATTCCAGATCTTAGGGCAAACTGGTTTTGTTGTTTGCATCCTGCCATGCTCTAATTTCATTAACATCACTCGTGCAGTCTTTCGTTTTATGCATAATGAAGCTTCCCGCATGCTAGCTGCGTTTTAGTTTTTACAGCACCATAATTCATTAATGGATGCAGTACAATTTCTGTTTCGGAGGAAAGAACAAGGGAATTTGCCACTGTTACAGAGAACCAGGCCACCAATTTTTGGTATTCCCAAAGAAGCAGCAATGTCCAGATTGTGCCGAAGGCATCATAACATGGATGGAATTAGAAAGGACGAAGAACATGGTTTGATTATTCTTTTGTTGCACAAGAAATTGTGAGTTCTTTGAATAGAGCAAATTCCTACCCTCACAAACGTAAACCATTACAAGATGAAGGTCAGTTAAATGTTGTTAAAGACGAACGAAAAGGCTATCCAATCAAAGATCATTCCAGTTTGTTCAAGAATGAGGCTAAAATTACAGAATAACGAGAGTCAAGATATTCCTCAAAATAAGCTTCTGCAAGAGTAAAGGTGACACGGAAGACAGTGGGAAAGAAAGGGGAAGGGAGTCGTGAATGTATTCCACTTATTGTTGACGACAAAACGAAAAGAACTAGATTTTCATTTCCTGTTTGTGTAATGATAACTATACATTTCATGCTGTTACTTTCATGTTTCTTGGTGTTGATAAACTAGGAATAATTTGTTGTACTTGATGTTTGAAGTTGTGATGATGTTAAACCGTGTTCGATTTTATCTAGTATCGAGTATGTGTTCATATATGGTTTATACACCAGCACATATGCTGTAAGAAAATAAAGGAATGAAGTGCTCCCTTTGCAAATGGGAGAATAACACGAACTAGATGAATGCTTGAAGAATAATTTTACTAAAAAATGCCTTCAAGTTTATATATACAGTGAATGAGAAGAATCTAGAATACTTACACAAATTGAACTAACTGGCTGAAAAGAAAATGCTATAAAAATAAATCTAATAGAAAAAGAAAAAGGAAACGACGCTATGTAAAAGAATTTAACAGAAAGAGAAAATGGTCTTCAATGTCGTTTCTACCGAGCACCATCATGCTTCATCTGATGGCTTTCTTCTTGTTGATCATCAGCTCGTTGCTGTTGCTTGTACATAGTTCAACATATGCTAGCTCTAAGTTTTCAAATTATTCATTGAATGCAATCACGCAACTTCAAGAATTGACCTTTACTTCATTTTAACAGAAAGAGAAAATGGTCTTCAATGTCGTTTCTACCGAGCACCATCATGCTTCATCTGATGGCTTTCTTCTTGTTGATCATCAGCTCGTTGCTGTTGCTTGTACATAGTTCAACATATGCTAGCTCTAAGTTTTCAAATTATTCATTGAATGCAATCACGCAACTTCAAGAATTGACCTTTACTTCATTTCAAAAAAAAAAAAAAAAAAAAAAATTTCCTATCGAACTCTAATTCATTTCAATGAAACCCGTAGCAATACTGTATTTAGTTTTTACATTGTACACTGCACATCCAAAAACATTTCACATAGCAACAATACCAGCACAACATAAAAAAATCAGCAGTACCTCCCAACAGCAACCATGTTCATGCTGCCTTAAAAAACTAGCACTAAACCTTAGCGAAATTACATGTCACCCAGCACATATTCACATCAACTAATACTTAAAAACCATCATCAACCATTGCATAAAATTTACATCAAAGCACTGCACAAAAACCATCATCATCACCAGAATATTCACAACAAACACTGCATAAAAATCAGCTGCTGCCTTCAACTTCTATATGCCGCATCACGTCCCATAGAAGTTGCTCGAACTGCTAAACAGAATATTGATGGAATTGCCATTATCTATCATCATGCGACTTAGGCCGTTACGGGTTATTCTAGCTCGAACTACCAAGACATTGTATTAGAGATATATGACTCTGTATTCATCAAGACTGTCAATGGTAATCGATAGAGAAACAGGTTTAAAGTTACCTCTAATCCAGCATACCTCATGCATAGATCTTATAGTTGTGTTGGTATATATCATTTGTTCACTTGATGTACTACCACCGATATGAGGGCCTCCAATTATAGTATGAGTTTCTTTAATTGGAGGAAGTAAATTAAGAGCATTGGCATTTTGCTTGTTGATAAGTGTGTTTTTGTATACTTATTTAGATCACAAACATGACTTAATTACAAGCAAAATGTTTAAATTGTGACTTAATCGCGTTGAATTCCTGCAATGTAAGTGTTTCTATGAAAATGGTGGAATTCAGGAGAAAAGAGCCAAAAAAGGACTAAAATGGAGTAAAGTGATAGTTCAGGGATCAAAGTGCAATTATCCAAAAGATGGTCCAAAGGACAAATCAAGGAAGTGAATGAGCTAAGTACCAATTTGATGATATTATGAGATGATGGAAATAAAAGAAACAAGTAAAAAGGACCAAAATGAATCAAACTGAAAGTTTGGGGACCAAGTTGCAAATAATCCATAGATGAGACGGGAAAGGGAATGAATATTCAAGAGTCTTAGAGGTCAATTGGATGAGGAAAGGAGTCAAAGAGGTGAAATATGGTCGAAGTATTGTCAAGTATCAACTTTCAGGCGAAAAAGCTATGCTCGTGATTTTTAATCTCTATTTGAGATCCATTTTTGGCATAGTAAACATCAGAACTTGAGAAATCCTACTTCTATTAAAAGTGTAGATCTTTGAGTTTTCTTCAGAATTCACTTTGAATCACTTCAATCGGAGATCAGGAGAAAAAGTTATGACCAAAATACTAAAAGCTATCCGGCGGAAAGAATGACATAACCATGCGGTCGCATGGTAGAAACTCCTAACGAGACAAAGCACTTGAATGGTTGGATTCACTTCCGGTTGCAAGTATCACTACATGGAACGAGTTGGCACACAAATTCTGCACAAAGTTTTTCTCCCCAGCCAAGATAGTGAAGTTGAGACATGACATATTAGTATTCAGTCAAGGAGAAACCGAATCATTTGAGAAGCTTGGAATAGATTCAAAAACATGCTTCGGAAGTGCCCTCAACATAGGTGTGATAAAAAGACCTAAATCCAATTCTTCTACACAGGGTTACTTCCATACCACAAGAGCATGGTGGATTCAGCGTCACATGGCTCAATATCCACACGAACAGTTGATAAAGCATTGGAATTATTTGAGAGAATGGCTACCACATCAGCCATGTGGTCTTTTGAGAGGACGATTCCAAGGAAAACTCCGAGTGTCTATGAGGTGGATACTTATTCAGCAATATCTGCAAAAATCGATTCTCTGTATCACAAGGTGGAAAGCATATCACAAGCAACACAAGCTAAGAAGAACAATTGTGAAGAATGTGGGGTTGAGCATAAAACATCGAAATGCCCAATACTCATGCAAGGAATTGAGCAAGCAGACTATGCACAGTGGGGACAACGGCAACAACACAATCAATATGGAGAAACTTTCAATCCCAGTTGGAAGAAGCATCCCAAACTTCTCTTAGAACAACCAGAATCAAAATGGGCCACAGGGACAATTTCAACAACAAGAGAAGAGGCCTCAATTGGAAGATATGATAGGAAAATTTATGGAGAAAGCCGAAGCTACACTTCAAAATCAAAGCAGCCATCAAAAATTTGGAAACTCGGATGGGGCAGTTGACCATCGTATTGACTGGCAAAACGCCAGGTAACTTGCCAAGTAACACAGAAATCAATCCCAAAGAGCAAGTCAAGGCCATTACAACTCGAAATGGAGTACTATTGCCTGAAATCCATGTCAAGAGATCGAATGTGATTGGAGAGACATCTTCTCCTGCTGAAGAAGAGACTGTTGTAAAGGAATCAACTTCAAAGGAAAATTCAGAAAAGTCACGGGATAAGGCCAAAGTCACAGTCAACCCATACGAGTCTCCGATTCCCTTTTCACAGTGGTTGAAGAAGCAAAAATTGGAGCAACAGTACAAAAAATTCCTAGAATTCTTCAAAAAGTTCCATATCAACATCCCACTAGCCAATGCACTATTCCAAATGCCTAACTACACGAAGTTTCTCAAAGATATTATATCAAACAAACGCAAGCTGGAGGACCATGAGACAATAATGCTTACGAAGGAATGCAGTGCCAGAATCCAGAAAAAGCTCCCACCAAAATTGAAAGATCCAGGTAGTTTCACTTTCCTTTGCACAATTGGTGATTTTTATTTTGATAAGGCATTGTGTGATCTCGGTGCGAGTATTAACTTGATGCCACTATCTGTTTTCAGGAAATTAGGATTGGGAGAGCCTAAGGCAACCACAGTAACTCTACAGCTAGCTGATCGATCACTTACACATCCACGAGGGATTATTGCAGATGTATTGGTCAAAGTGGATAAACTCATATTCCCAGCAGACTTCTTGCTTTTAGATATGGAAAAAGACAAGGACGTGCCTATCATATTGGGATGACTATTTTTGGCTACTACAAGAGCCCTCATAGATGTGCAGCAAGGACAATTAACTCTGAGGCTGGGGGAGGAACAAGTCTCTTTTAATGTTTTCAATACAATGAAATACTTCAACTAGCTTGAAAGTTATTTCCAGATTAAAGTGCTTGACATAGGAATCCCCTACAATTTTGAGTTGAAGAAACAGCCAAACATTCATGAGGCATGTATAGTACACTCTCCATCCGTTCTTATCGATTCAAATGAGATTAAGGCATTCAATGTGGGATTTCATACGGATGAGGAGAGAAAGACAAACCACTTGGAAAAAGACGGATGAAATTCGGAGGATAACTGCAGTGCGGAACAAGACCATATTGAGCAAACTATGAAGGACCTCCCAAGGTATATTTAAAGTGCCATAAAATACCTGCACCAAAAGTCCAGCTATTGACTATAAAATAGCGCTGATTGGGAGGCAACCAAACGTTTCTACCCTTTATTTATTTCATTTTGCATTAGTCTAGGAGTTTTTCAATTTTTAAACATTTTTTATAGTTTAGGTCATCGTTCATCCATGCATGTCAATAAATAGTCTAATCACAATCCACACGAGTCCCAATGCATTGAACACAAGTCATAAGGTTGAAGTCCTGTTTTAGTCATTCATGGGTCAAATTGGACAAAGTGCATATTTAGAGCTAAACTTTGTTGGTGATTCACATTTTTGTGGTATGAATTTTATATTGAAACATAATTTATGCATCTTACATGCCAACAGTGTACACATGCACATTGAAATAAGTTTGGGGGAACGGTGCATCACATGGATTCCTTCATGCACACCCAAGTTTATCAACTATCACCATAAAATATAATACACATACTTTGCACTTTTGTAGGATGCAGCCAAAAAGACCTCAACAGGAAAAGAGAAGGTCGGCTCCACATTTCGCATTACAGGTCCCGATTTTCGACCACCTCCATTCTTATCAGGGGAGTACTAGTTATCCCATTTCTTGTGCTTTCAGTTTATTTTGTCCCTCAATTATATGTATTTGAACTTCTACTTTATTACAACAATGAGGGCAAGGTTATGAATAAGTTTGGGAGGGTGGCACAATTTGATATAAATGTAGCATTTAGATTTTGGCATCCATTTTTCGTGTATTATTCATATTCTATCAATACATTTGCTTAATTGTTGCATTTTGTGTGCTTGTTGAGTGTTATGAAATAATAATAATAATAATCTGCATAGGTTCTTCATGTTACTATATTGCTTGTTTTATATGCTTATGTGAGCTTGATAACCTTGCCAGCTGTGATGAGA